TCAACAAGCTCAACTGTTCCGAGATTCAGCGACCAGGTCGAACGTCATTGCCCATCTTAGTGAAGCAAGTGCTCGACTCGTTAAAAGTCAGTCCTCGGAAGGCTACTGGGACGAGAACTGGGAAGACGCGAGTCGTCCTGCGAAGGAGATGGAAGCAGGGGGCCCGACCATGCGTCGCATCTTAGCTACGGGACACGCCCTTGAATGGTGGGCGATCGCTCCCAAAGAAGTGTTGCCACCGCGCGAAGTCATTATTCGTCGTGCTCAGTGGCTGGTCGTTGAAGTCGAACAAATGGAACCTGAGTCAGTCGTCAAAAACTATACGTTCCTGACACATGTGGGACGTGCACTGTGCCTTTGGCGCGGAAAGTTCCCTCACGAACTGACTCCCCTAACCAATCCACAAACCGGCGCCGAAGGATAACGCCGGAAGCCATTAACTCAATAGGTGCTACGCCATGTTGACCACGCTTAAAAAACTCTGGAACGACGAACGCGGGTTCGTTAACTCGATGGAGCTAATTCTGATCGCGACCATCGCCGTGATTGGGTTGATCGTCGGTCTTGTCGCATTCCGCGATTCCGTTGTCCAGGAACTAGGTGACTCGGCTTCGGCAGTTGGTGAATTGAATCAGTCCTATGCCATCTTTGTTGGCGACAGCACCAACCGCGATCCCGAGGATGGACCAGTCGTCACTGGACCTAATGCGGTAAGCCAAGTCACTGTCGAGCGTGACTTCCTCAATGCAGATGGTGATGTCACCGTGTCGGTGACATCTTCGTTTCAGAACTATCGGTACAACGATCGAACCGATGTCGGCGACGGGCCGGACCTTCTTCTAACGCCTCCAGCAACCATCATTTCGCTAAGTGGTGCCCCAACTGACGAAGGGTCTTAATCGCAAGATGTTCAAAACACTTATTCCTGCACAGTTGAAGATGCGACCAGCAATCCGCCGGCGTCAAGGAAACGCCCTGGTGATCTCGGTGATCCTGCTTGTCGTGATTCTCGGCATTGGAGTCATTGTCGGAGCGGTCGCGCTGCGAGACCAGATCACGCAGGAGTTCGGCGACGCAGCAGTCGCCCTGGACAATCTTGACCAGTCGTATTCCTACTTGATTGAAATCGATACCAACGGCGATGGCACATTCGACGTGCAGTGCTTTGCCGAATACGACGACTCCGATCCAACATTGACAGACCCCGGTCCCAATTTAGCACCGGCCGATATCGTGTTTATTCCGCCGGCTGTTCCAGATCAGCGAGAAGGCGTCGTGGATAATCCTTCAGGAGAATTCCCGTAACCAAATCACTTTTAGTTTGGAGTGAACCTTCCTGCCAAAGGGTAGCAACGAATCGCGGCGGTCGATTCTTGGACACGTCAGCAGCAGGAAGAACTTTTTCGTGTGTTTTTACCCCTTAGGAGATTAAGCTCATGAGCCTCATGAAGCGTTTGTGGAACGACGAAGCTGGTTTCGTTGT